TAAAGTAATATAGTCTAAATTAAAACTAACAATGAAAATATTTTAAAATTTAAAGTTATAATTTTAAAATTGAAATTAAAATTGTAGTAAAATAAAATGAATTCTAACATGTTATTTATACATACATATGAAACTTTATAAATTATTATATTTGAAATAAATAAATTAATTAATTAATAAATAAATAAAGTTTACTAAATATGAGAAATGACTTAGCTAGTTTTGTAGTAAGTATATTAATATTACTTAAATAATATTTAAATTTGAAAAAAAAAAAAAAAAATTACATATACTTTGATATGGAAAAATAATCTTACTTAATATGAGTAATTTTCCTTCTGTTATAAAAGTAATATAGTCTATTAAAACTAAACAATGAAAATATTTTAAAATTTTAAAGTTGTAATTTTGAATTTGTAATTAAAATTGTAGTTAAATTGAATGAATTCTAACCTAAATTTCTTTTAAATAATACTACACGCATTAAAAAGAATCCAAAAAATAACACCTATAGTAAAATAAAATTAATATGAAATACCATAACATGTAAGCTTTTGAATGACCCATGTCCTCAGTACTTACATGTGAAATATTATAATAATAGGTTTATATATAAAGAAAAGTTTACTGAATCAGTGAAATTAAGATTTTGCTGTCAAAACAAAAAAAAAAAAAAAAAAAAAAATGTAACCTCATATACATACTTAAACTTAATGTTAAAATAATCCTACATAATATAATGGATACATTTAACTGTTCTTAAAGAATATAGTAAAAGAATATAGTAAAATAAAAATTAAAAAGAAAAATATTTCAAATCGTAGTTAAATAAAAAGTATTGTAAAAAATCTTTAATTTTAAAAGATGACGTTGAAAATTTTTTACCGTTAACAATTTTTTTTTTTTTTTTTTAAATTCAGACGACATCCATTCAACCGACGTCAGGTTTCAGTGTAAAAATACATCCTCAAAATAACTTTGATACTGTCATAAGGAAAATCTAGACACCCCCGTGTTCAATTTGAGTAGAATATTCTGTAACCATGGAAACGTGATTTTAGCTGTGTATTTAAAACCCGGTAAATTTTAAAAGTTACTCCAAAATTCGCTTGAAGATGAAATGGAACTAATGCTTTTAATTTATTTGCAAAAAATAAAATTAGGGTTTTTAACTTTGAAACATGGTTGAACTGTGTAGCGAAAATAACCATATTTTAAATCAATTAATTTATAATATTAATGCTCTGTAAATTTACATTGAGCACTTTATAAGAACACCGGATTTTATATCTTACTGTTCTTTCTTTTTTTATTTATATATATATATATATATATATATATATATATATATACCATGAAGTATTAATTTAATCTATGGCAATAATTATTAACAATATGGCCATAAATTAAATCCTTATGTACAACTTATTCGAACATTGTAAAAATATGATAAACGTTAAATAGACAAACATTATTGCCGGAATTTTAAGAAATTACACAGATATATATATATATATATATATATATATATATATATATATATATATATATATATATATATATATATATATAATCTGAGACGATCTTCAGGGGTTACGTTTTCATTGAGTATGTATTTGTCTTTCTGTAAATGTACATTTCAACTGTATGTTTTTACTGCTTACGCAGCGTTCTAGATTTTAAAGTTCATGTGTCCTTGAGGATTGTGGAGTGTTCTAGTTCCACGTGAAATACCTCTTAGGGATTTACCTTTAACTAAACTCTCTAAATTTAGGTTCACTACTGCTGTGGCCTGGTATTGAAATCACAACTCCGTGGGTCTAGTCACTAGATCTAACCAATGTATTTATCCAGACGAGGCATGGCCCGTGGAACTAGAAATATCTACCCCGGTGAACGAAATAAAGGGTTCGGTTTGAAATTCCTATCACCTGCAGAAGGCTAGAGCCTACAACGGGCGAAATGTTGTGAATATGGCAATAAAGATGAGGATAACAGTCCGAATAATGTAAATAACTCAAGTAATCATAATACCTCATCTCAGAGATATAGAGGCTGAAACGTTGTGAATATGGCAATGAAGATGAGGATAACAGTCCAAATAATGTAAATAATGCAATTAATCATAATACCTCATCTCAGAGATATAGAGGCCGAAACTTTGTGAATATGGAAATGAAGATGAGGATAACAGTCTGAATAATGTAAATGATGCAATTAATCATGATACCTCATCTCAGAGATATAGAGGCCGAAACTTTGTGAATATGGCAATGAAGATGAGGATAACAGTCCGAATAATGTAGATAATGCAAGTAATCATAGTCTCAGATCAGAGATGTAGACAAATAAAAAATTTGTTGGCATTAAATAATCCATTGAGGTTGATATGTTGTAAAACAAACCAAACTAAACCAAATCAAATATGTCGTCCTGCGTAAGATGATAATCTACATCCGCGTCCTGAGTAAGACGATAAACTACATCCAAAACCAAGGCCTCTGATAAGGAGGTTTTGAGGAGCGTGGGACCACCTCTAAATTGCTAGTGTTCCCAGCACTAACCTGATCCTTGGTGGTAGTACCTGTTAGGGTCCCAGCTATGGGTAAATAGTTAACCCCCAAACTGGGGTCAAATCACTATGTAAGTGTAAAACCAGGTTTTAATACGAGAAATCTTTAGTAAAAAAAAAAAAAATAATTACCAGCGATAGATTTTTTAAGAGAAAAAATATTACCAGCAATACATTTTTGAAAAACAATATTACCAGTAATAAAAATGTTGTTATGAATGTTGATATGCCACAAACCAAACCAAACCAAACCAAACCAAACCAAAACAAAACAAAACAAACCAAATCGAATAGATCCTTGTGCCATACATTGTTAAATGTTATTTTGTAATCTAGAAAACATAAGTTCTATCATATATGGTAATAATTTTAAGAATGTTTTCTCATGAATAAAAGATTAAATCTATAAAATGTTGAAGACATTGGCCAATAAACACCCTCGCCACTCATATGATAGACTAGTTATATATAAAGTTGTTGGCTAGAAATTTATCAACGATTGCAATTTATTCATTTATTCTTGAACTTATTAAAAAGCGGAGCTGAAGAGATAATGTGACATATTTTAATGAATTTGCAATTTGTTGGAATAATTTTAGAAAGGCGATATTGATATGTAACCTCTTTCGTTCCGACCTATACCCTACCCAAGAAAACTTGGTACTGACAGTGGTTGTACGTCAGTGACAGAGAGACTGGAGGAAGGAACAAGTATTTATTCTGATTCTAACCCAACGAACGCTTAAAAATGATTAAAAAAAAAATTGATTTTCTTTCTTTCAACAGGCTTTTGGTCCAAATACATAGATACATACATACATATGTACATACAGTATATATATATATATATATATATATATATATATATATATATATATATATATATAAAAGCAATATTTAGTAAAAATAAAAATATGTATAAGAACACCGGATTATATATCTTACTGTTGTTTATATTTATATATATATATATATATATATATATTACAGTGATAATAAATCATTTATATTAATCACTTATATATATATATATATACATATATGTATATATATATATATATATTACAGTGATATATATATACATGTATATATATATATTTATATATATATTACAGTGATATATATATATATATATATATATATATATATATACAAAAGTGAAGATTGAAGTCAACACTCAGAGGCGACATGCTGTTTCATGCTAGACGCAATCGTCAGGCTATATATATATACACACAATATATATATATATATATATATACATATATATATCACTGTAATATATATATATATCACTTTAATATATATAGATATATGCATATATACATCACTGTAATATATATATATATATATATATATATATATATATATATATCACTGTCGAAGTACACGTTTTGTTTAAGGATTAAGAGGCAAAGTTCCTAGAGATATGTGACGAAGATAACGATGTGACGTAGATAACGATTGACCTGTGACTTGACCAATTTAAGATTGTAATCATCGTGGTTAGACCCTCTTCTCCAAAATGATTCGTGGGAAGAAGATGCTCGGGTGATTATATATATATATATATATATATATATATATATATATATATATATATACTGTTTAGTTAGTCAATAAAGTTATTTGGTAATCTGTATGGATAATCCCAAAGAGGATGTAATCCCGAGAGCTCAATGTAAAAACAGAGCAAATATTTATTATATTCAAGAAGATATTACTTTAAGGGTTTATGTTGTTATAATTTATTTCCTTGAAAATGGAAATCTGAAGAATTCGGACCAAAATCCCAGAAATGAATTATAATCCCATGAACCCTTAAAGTTGTCTGTTTTTAATATATATATATATATATATATATATATATATATATATACACTGATTGGCTGGTCATGTCTTTAGAATGAGTGATACTTGGATGCCGAAAATCCTTATGTATAGCCAAACGTTTCGTGGCAAGCGTAATGTAGGCCACCCTTGGTTACGCCTTAAGGATCAACTTGAATACAATTGCTTTTGTTAGCAGGCACCCCCAATTTAATCTGAGTTGATAAGTAACATATATTGGATGCATAAGCTGTCTAGGGAAATGAAAACCTAACAACCCCTAAATTAAAATAGATTTTCCTTAACCTTAATAACCCATAATATCAATATTGTTTGTGCATATAAATTAAGTAAATTTCTTAGAAAGTTTATTCATAATATCGCTTGAGAATGGAACGAGACGACGAAGTTTAAGTTTAATTTTTATAATTAAATTTATAAATTTAGTTTCAGTTTTGAAAATGGAAATATTCTGTGTCGCGATGGAATCATATTTTTAAAAAGAATATATATATATATATATATATATATATATATATATATATATATATATATATATATATATATGCCTGCTTGTGTGTTATTTATCAATATAACAATGTCTGTCATTTATCTATCTATCTATCTATCTATCTATCTATCTATCTATCTATCTATCTATCCAGGTAGTTAGTTATCTAGCTATCTAGCTCTGTTTCTTATCTATCTATCTATCTAGCTATGGTTACGCCTTAAAGATCAACTTGAATACAATTTAATTGCTGCACACGTACCTATAGAGGAATTCAAACTTACTGTTGAAAAGCGAACAGACTGGACTAACATTTTCTACCTAGGTGTAACTAACATAGAAAAGAATCATCTCAATCCTCTGAGAGAATTAAGAATTAACACTAAATCTCGGGCTAATACATCAGCCCAAATATCTGTCAACCCTTCAGTATGTCCCTCATGTGGAGGATTGTTGTCTCATACGAAACATAAACATAAAAACTGAACTTAAAGACACTCATACGTCGAAAACGACGGTAGAGGTCCATCATCATCATCATCATCATGTGTGTGTGTGTATGTGTGTGTGTGTGTGTGCCGCGTGGCCGTTCGCTTTCTCACCATGAGACCCGGGTTCAAATCTCACCACGGAGACTGCCTGATTTCACCGGTTGACCCAAGTGTTGTGAGTGAATATGGGTAGACAGAACACTTGTGGCCGTCGATAGCTGTGCTAGCACGAAGTCACAGTTCATCGTGACCGAGGATGTGAGTGTTCTGGTGTTGTTCAGATTGTTGATCATTGTGGATAACACGATCTCTCCCAGAAACCGTAACTAAGATCTGCTCACCATAGTTGCAGTATAAACAACAGGTCAGCTATTTGGGTGTTGAACAAAACACAAATGTGCCTGATCGAGTGTCTGCAATAGGGATTGGTTAGCTTCCCTAGTAAACAGGTAATCTTGAGTGGCCATCTATTATTATTATTATTATTATTATTATTATGTGTGTATGTGTGCGTGTGTTCATAATGTCTTCTCTCGAGTTAGATTTGAATATTTAAAACGAATCGAAGAAAGAATAAAAAAATCGATGACTTTTTGATTTATCCCTCTTATCTTCGAAGTCAGTGAATATTAAATCCAAAAATTAAAACTATTTTTTTAAAATTCTTTTGAAAATGCAAAGAAATAAATGATAATTGAATGAATGACGGAAAATTTTTCAAGTTAACTGCCCGGAGTTTATTCTCGTGAACATTCAGTTAGCTAATATGAATATCATCTATTTTTGAGAGCATAAAGCGTATGTCTGTATATGACGAATAATTTATTTTAACGACTAGCTTTCAGTAAGTAATTTTGAATAAAATGCAAATAGATTTCCTCATCGATATATCGCATCAATTTTTTTCTATGTAAGTTCTATGCTAGCAGTTTCTTCTCTTGCATTTCTAACTTGGAGATCTCTCTTCCGGCCACCTGCTTTCCGGTCAGCAATGATCTTTAAAAAATTAAATATAATGTCAATCCTTATCTTCTCTCTTCCTTTATTGTTCTATCTCCTTAATAATAGTTTTCTTCTCATATTCTCTTGCACTCAGTAACTCATTTGCGCATTAGTGGCTTTAGTGCCTTCCTTGGGGAGAAATTTAAATGCAATATCAATCGTTATCTTCTGTCTTATTAATTCTTCTTTTTTTATTTTCCTCTCTTAATGTTAATAGTACACACACACACAGACAGACAGACTTCTCTAACACACACACAACTCATTTGCGTCTTATATGGCTTATATATATATACATAATGTTTATATATATTTAAATATATATATCAATTCCGACAATTTATTTCCGTCTTTTTTATTTTAACGTTGTTATTTTTATTATTTTCTCCTGTTTATAAACAGTTTAAATAACATTTACACACAATGTCACACACATACAAATTTTCACACAGGATTCAACCTGCATCCTATATATATATATAACGTTTATATATATATATATATATATATATATATAAATAATTTATATATATAAATTCATAACTTAAGGAGTATCGAAATGTAAAAAATGACCATATATATATATATATATATATATATACAATTTATATATAAAGACTTTTATTATCGGTGACCCCTTGCATCGTAGTAGTTTTATTGCCTTGCTTGGGGTGAAATGACTCAAATTGGTTGATTTTGTTTTGTGACATATCGACCCCTATGGGTTATTTAATGCCGAAATTTAAATATTTTGAACACAATTTTATGGCTTCTACTACGAGATATGTTGAATCTAATTGCGTGCCTTCAGCTAAAGAGAAAACGTATTGTTGGTCATTTTCCTACAAAGTGTATTTTTGCTTCTTCTACTATAAATATGTATTATTGGTAATTTTACGATAAATAGATATATAGGCAACAGTCTATCCCGGTGGATGAAATAAAGGGTTCAGTTCGAAATTCCAATCACCTGAAGAAGGCCGGAGCTTAAATGGGCCGAAACGTCGTGAACATGACAATAAAGATGGGGTCAACAATCCGAAAAATACAATAGAAAACCCTCCATACCTCCTTTGTTCAACCAGTTCGAGGCCCTGACCTCCTCTACCGACAAGGCTGAATGCTTTGCTCGGAAATTCTCATTTAATTCAACGCTCGACTCCTCCGGTGTACTCATACCAGACTTCCTTCTAAGAAGTGACGCCCTATTGAGCGGGTTACACATAACCCCGTCATTGGTATTGGGCATTGTCTCCAATTTAGACCCCCACAAGGCTAGTGGTGGAGATGGCATACCAGCCATTGTCTTGAAGAAATGCGCGCCTGAGCTAGCGCCCGCCCTCTCTAAACTGTATAATTACTGCCTCAAGGAATCCTGTTTTCCTGACTGCTGGAAGTCCTCATCCATTGTTCCTGTCTTTAAGAACTCTGAAGACCCCTCTGACTCCTCTAATTACCGTCGTATTAGTCTCCTACCCCTCTTCGGCAAAGTCTTCGAAGCCCTAATCAATGCCGAAGTGGTTAACCACTTTACATCCCATGATCTGCTCTCAGACAAGCAATATGGTTTCCGCTACGCCCGATCTACAGCTGATGTGCTTACGGCCATCACTGAAACCGTCTACCAAGTCCTTCAAAATAACGGTGAGGCTCGTGCCGTGGCCCTAGACATCTCCAAAGCGTTTGATAGGGTTTGACATGCCGGCCTTCTTCGTAAGCTCCAGGGTTATGGTATTACCGGTCGATTGTTTGATCTAATACAATCATTCCTGTCAAACCGTGAATTGAAGGTCGTTCTTAACGGATTCTCCTCCAGTTCCTATCCCACGAACGCAGGTGTTCCCCAAGGCTCCATCCTTGGCCCCACTCTATTCCTTATTTTCATCAACGACCTTCCTGACGCCATAGATTCCCAAGTTGGCATCTACGCGGACGACACTACAATTTACTCCTGCCTCAAAAACAAATCTAGTGTCGGGGACAAAACTAACCTGGACGTGCGTCTTGAAATGGACCTCCAATCGGTTGTTAATTGGGGCAAGAATTGGCTGGACAACTTTAACGCTTCAAAAAGTAAACTACTCTCTATTAATCACCATGGAGATCCTTTCCTGCCCCCCTCCCCATTAGAATGTCTGATAGTCAACTTCTTGAGAGCAACTCCCTGCGTCTGCTCGGTCTCACGTTGACTGCTGACCTGAGATGGAACAAATACATTGAGTCAATTGCTTCTTCCACCGCGAGAAAAGTTCGCTCTCTGTGCCGCGCCAGGAAATTTTTCTACCCGGAATCGATACTTCAAATATACAAATCAACCATTCGCCCTTGCATGGAGTATTGCTGCCATATATGGTCTGGTGCACCTTCTGTTTACCTCGGTGTTCTTGACAAGATCCAGAGACGGATATGTAATATAATTGGCCCTGATCTGGCATCTCGTCTACAGTTGCTCTCACAAAGACGCGCCGTCGCCTCTGTCTGTCTTTTTTACAAATACTTTCATGGTAATTGCTCCGATGAGCTGCTTTCACTGGTTCCCAGACTCCATGAATTCAAGCGCCCTACGAGGCTGGCATCCCGCTCCCACCCTTACACTGTAGAAACTTTTAAATGTAGCCATCTCTTCTACTCCAATAGCTTCATACCTCGCACCTCTCGCCTGTGGAACACCCTTCCCAATTACTGTTTCACTGAGAGCTATAATCTCCAACTATTCAAATGTAATGTCAATCGACACCTCCAGTTACCTTGATCTATCCACTATCCCTATCCTCATCCTTTCTTTTATCACTCCTATCTGCTCTTGCTCCTAATCTTCTGCAAACCCCTGAATCCTAGTGGCTTCACGCCTTTCTCGGAGTGTAATGCTTTAAAAAAAAATTGAAATACCTCATCTCAGACATATAAACAGATAAATACGTATTGCTTTTAATTTTACTATTGTTGGTAATTTTTTAATATAAAAATGAATTGCTGGTATGTTTACTATTGTGGAGTGATTTCACAGAGGAGGCTTGTATTTGTACTAAGTCGGTCCTAAAATAGGTTCGACGTACAAAACGTTAGGAACTTGATATAATAGGTATTACGCAGAGTAATCTAGTTGTGGTCGCTCATACTTTCGTATTCGACTAACTGTCGTCCGACATCGACTGACTCACTGACTAACTCCTATTTATATTAGGTGAGAGAGTCTATTAACTATAGAATAGGTGTGTTTCACCATAACAACTATAAAAATGTATTTTTGTACTGTTATTTTGTTTGGGTGTTCACTCTTTGCCCAGAGCTGGGACCCTAACAGGTGCTACAACTTCGTGTCAGGATGGACCTGGAAACAATAGTAATTAAGTGGTGGTTCCCCGATGCTCACAATTCCGAATCTGCCGATCAGAGGTCTTGTAGTTTATCGTCATACCCTGGAGTGAAATGATTAAAGAATATGTCCGGAGTATTTCTGCATACGACGAAAATCCATACTGACATCAATGTATTTTATCAGCTTATAATGAGTAGGAAAAGAGAATCTATTTTATCCTTGTTATATTTTATTATACATATAAATATTATCTCTGTATAAGACGCAAATCAATTTCTTCATTGATATCTTCTATCAACGTATAAGGAATGTCTTTGTATAATACGCATCTCTGTTTGTCATTCA